GTTGAAAAATGCACCACAGATATTTCAGAGAAGAATGGATGAGGTAATCAAACCAATTACTCATTTTTGTATTGTATACGTAGATGATTTACTTATTCATTCAAACAATATCGATGAACATATTGAGCATCTTGAGAAATTCTGTTATATTATGAAAAAACATGGTATTACACTTTCTCAAAAGAAAGCTGAGATGGCTAAAACAGAAATAGAATTCTTAGGATTATTTATAAAAGAAGGAGAATTGCAATTGCAATCCCATATTGGAGAAAAATTTCAAGAATTTCCTGAAGAAATCGAAGACAAAAAACAATTACAAAGCTTCCTTGGTATATTAAATTATGCTGAAGGATTCATTGAAAATTGTGCTAAATTGAAAAATTATTTTCTTCCAAAATTAAGAAAAAATATAATGTGGTCTTGGGAAGAACAAGATTGTGAAAATATAAGAAAGGTAAAAGAAGAATTGAAGGTATTGCCTAAACTTGTAATACCCCAAGAAGAAGATTTTTTTATCCTGGAAACTGATGTTTCAGATTACTACTGGGGAGCAGTGTTAAAGGTTAAAAAGAATCATAAAGAATATAAATGTGAAAAAGATTGTTCTTGTCCTGAGATACTTGCAGGTTATACATCAGGGACATTCAAAGAAGTTGAAACAAGATATGAGACGAATAGAAAAGAACTCATTGCTGTAAAAAGAGGAGTTCAGAAATATGAAGATTATTATTACCAAAGAAGTTCTTGATTAGAACTGATAATACTCAAGTTAAAGCATTTTTGAAAAATAATGTTGATCCATCTGTGACTAATAGATATATTATTAGAATACAAATTTGGTTTTCATATTTCAAATTTGATATTGAATAAATTAAAGGAAAAGCTAACTTTCTTCCTGATTATCTTAGCAGGGATGGAGGTAGAACAATTAAGGACGAAAGTCCAGATACTTGAGATAAAAATTTCCTATTTGGAAACCCAAATTCAAAATATCCAAGATAGCCTTCGAGGCAAGAATTAGCCCATGAGGCAGAAGTTTCTTGTACCAAGACTAGTATCCCTCACAGGGACTTGTGAATACTAGCGCTCTCCCCGAGGATAAAGGGAAAGAAAAGAAGGTAATAGGAACCCCTTCACAGGGAATACTTAAACCTATTACTGATAATAGAGATATTCAAGATATCAAAAGAGAAGGTAGCTCTTCACAGAGCCAAATTCAATCTAAACTTTCTATTGAAAGGATAGATCCCAAAGATATTGTCAAAATATGCCATGAAGCAAAAATGCCTAAAAAAGATAACTATGAAGAAGTAACACTTTTTATTGTTATTTTTAACATTCTATCAGACTGGTATCTGGAGATTGGAAAGTGGATGAAGACTCTCCACTATTCGAAATATAACAAAATAAATTTTTATCCAGGAGCACCAGCCAACTAGGTTCGAAATTGCTTTGAAATAGGAAATATACTTTGTATATATCCTAGTAAAGATCTCAAGGAGATAGCTCAGCTTCCAGCCAACATTAGGAAAGCTGTTAAAAAATATACTGAAGTTGTTAAAACAACAAATATATATATCAGATTTCATTCAGCAACAATGGAATGAGATCCTGTTCTTGAATATATGCATCCATCGTTCCATGTGATCAAAATGGGACTAACAAATCAACATTTTTTACCAGCCAATCAAAAGGTTGTTAAAAATGGATATCAAGATATTCTTAATATGATGCCCTATAGAAGAGCAAAAGGATATAAAGAGATATTTGAGCATGTAACTCAGATAATTACTGAGAAAGAAAAAATATGGGTTTATCCATCTGAAAATCATATTATCTATTCCAATGCAAGGATGGAAACCAAAGAAGAAGATATTTGTTATCTTGACCATTTATTATCTGCAATTATATCCAACCAAGTGCACGGATCAGAGGATGTGGCTAAAGAACTATACAAATTACTCTGGAATTACAGTGATCACCATTGTGAATACTGTGTTGTTGAAGATATGAGTCAAGCATCTCTTAATGATGAAGAATTCCCTGTAGAATTCTTTGATTCGAAAATGGAGAAGTGATGGTGACTAAAGTAACCCTTTATCACTACTTTAATAAAGAAATTTATTAAAAAAAAACTATAGCTACTAGAAGACAGAAGATAATACAAGAAAAGTCTCTATAATTGTAACTACTCCTCACCAATAGTTACAAGTGGCAGACAAACCCAAAAGATAAGGCATCTACTCTCAAAAGAAGTGGTCCACCCAACAAGAAGACAATGAAGAATTTGGTGGAGATAAGATGGCCTAGCTACCCAACAAAGAAAAAAGGAAAACACCTGTCCAAGATAAGATTCCAAAATCTCCTATAAAAGGGGACATGAAGGAAGAAGGAGAGCATCTCGAAATACCTTGAAATAACTTCTCTTAAACACATTTGAGAGAAACCTTTTGTAATCTGTATACACTACTTGTATTCAGAAAAATATTAGATAGCTTGAAGATAGGAAAGCGTGTAATAAGGTAATCACTTATGGAGTTCTAAACTTCATAAGGTGAGTACCAAAGGTATGTAAATATAATTTGTAAGCATGTACAATTTCAGTTCATGAATATTAAAGTAAAGTTTGTTATGTTCAACAAAGGTTACATAAAAGGATTTCGTTAAGTTTCTCATGATTCCTCGGCAGTACAGATAGAGATTTTAAAAGATTTTCAAAACTTTGATTTTGAATGGATGTTAGCCATGCCAAAGTACCCGTATTTGATGAATGGGTTAGGGGAAAAAGGCAGTTTCCTAACAAAAATTTGTAGCACCTTGTGTGTGAGTTATCTTTTAAAATTTCGTTCCAAGTAGGAACTTGATTTTGAAAAGAGTTTGGATAGAGGTGAAAACAGAGACTCTGGATACTGTGAGATAGCGTCTGTGGAAACACGGCTAGTTCTCTAGAATGAGAAATGCAACCTTAATTGAAAAGCCTTTTGCGGAAGCAGTTGTGGACCCAAATGATTTCAAAACATTTTAAATCTTTACTTGATTCAGAAGATTGATTAAGTACATACAAAGCATCTATAAGAGCATACTGGAGGGAAAACCTGTTTATTTCCAATTGATTACTGTAAGTTATTAAATTATTTTTACATGCTTATGCTTTAATTATTTTCATGAACAATTCACAAGCATCCACTTCCACTATTAATAATGATAATAATCTTATTTTATTTTTAGATGAAAAAGATGTTTCGTTCTTACTTAAACTAGATAAAAAATCTGATGATATATTTCCTGTTGGTAGAGAAAAAATAGAAGAAATATACAGAGATATAGATTATAATTGTAGAAATAATATAGGATTTGATTCTGTAGGAACTAGTAGAAAAATAAGAAAAGTAGAAGATATTATAACTAAACATACAAATATACAAGAAGAAATCTCAGAAGGACTATTTAAAGGATACATAACTAAGAGAGGTCAACCTATAATTTTTAAAGAATTATTAAAATATAAAGAATATTTAAAATTGTTCAAAAGATTGAAAAATATTGATATAGGGCCTGATTGATAAATCTTTAAAGATATAAAATAGATCTTACAAATAATTTCATTAAGGACAATATAGTACTTTTAATAGGAAAGGCTATTGTGAAAAACATTAAGAATTTTCCAGCTATTCTCAAAGTTATCCCCCCATACGTTTCCTCCTGAAATCTTTACCACAATTACGAACCATCTAGGTTATAAAAGTCAAAATTCACTTACCAATTTTGTTCGAACAATCGAATTACCCCTTCATTTTTTACTTTCTCGTTTTTATATTTATCTTGCAAGAACAATCAAACAATGGTGCGAACGGTAAAGAAGGAATTGATGGACAATCGAGCACCAGAATGCAGAATGCTACAGTCGAAATATCTCACCTTTAAGAATCAGATTAGCAGTAATTTGATTTCACATCATTTTAGTAATTTCTTTGGTTTTTTTTTCCATATTCTTTTTTTTTCATATTTGTTTAGTTTGATTAATTTGTATTTAGCGAAGAGATTAATGAAAGCGCTTATTGCAAAAATCTCTATATTTCGTTCTGTTTTGTCTTCATATATTGTAAAAAATTGTGTGTTTTAATCTTTAATTTAATTTTCTTCCAAAATGGGTGCTTTTGGGAAGTGGATAAAATCACTCGTTGGTCTGAAAAAATGGGGATCAAATGACTCTATAAGCTAATAATCTTTCTATTATCTTTATATGATTTTTTTTTTTTTTGATGTTTTAAGCAATGATTTTTATATTGAATTGTGTTGAGCCTAATAATCTTTGTATTATCTTTATATGATTTTTTTGGTGTTTAATTAATGATTTTTATATTGAACTATGTTGAGCTTAATTCATATCTAATGATGTGTTTGGTTGGGCTTAATAGTTGTTGTTGACTTCTTGTTGCCTTTTTGGTTTAATGATTGTTATTGTTGTGTCGTCCACAAGTTGCTCGCCGAAAATGCCTGCTCGATTTGTGCTAGACTGATAGGGTTCGTCTTGAAACAAGTACGAGCCGCCCACGGGTCGAGTCCCAATGGTCGAGCTGATGATATCACTGTTTAGCCCGTGCTTCCAAATTCTTGGATCTGCCCGTGGACGGAAGAAGTAGGTATTGATATCAGAAACAACAGAGCTGAATTAGACGTTTTATTTTCAGAATTATAGGTGGCAAAAACAGAGGTGGTTTCCAATTTCGTTTTACAAGTTAGTTGTCTCATTTTTATTTACTTATGGCAAGAATATTGCAATTCATTTCTCCTTTCTCTGAACTTTGCTGGTATATCTTAGATCTTTGTCTGATTAGAAGTTCGCATTTCCTCGTGTTGAATATTATTGTATTTGGTTCAATCTTTGATGGTTTTCAATAAGACACTTTGCTTCGGATGAATGCTTTCATAATTTTAGTGTATTTTTAGCTGAAGGAACATTAATTTACGAATGGTACATTAATTTTCTGTACAGAATGCAAAAGAACTTGTATGTATTAGATCAATTTAGAAACTTGAAACCATGAACAAAGATTCATATCAGTGATTCCGCTCGTAAGTCGGAAATTTCTCCTAATTTCAAGGGATCTTACAGATTGATCAGTAATTGGTCAATCTAGATAGTGGCTGCACGAAATAAGACTGTTACTTAACCAAGTCAGAAGATCTTTTTATCTTTATGAATACGATCACTTAATATTTCTTAGTTATGACACCTGTCTTTGATGCTTTTACAGGAGTACGAACATGCTTACTCATGTTCTTGAATTGAGGCCGTTGACATGTCGAATGATTTTCTTCTAACGAGAAGGCAGGTGATTGTTAAAGAATTAGCGTGTGAATTATCAAGACTGCACAGCACAAAATCTGGCCTGTGGAGCATGAGATTTAGCCGATCTTCCCCCACCACCAAGGCAGTTGCATCAAGTAGAATATGCCAAGAATTACGATGGGCTTCTGAAATCCAATGCATAGAGTATCGAGTCCCATTCACTTCTGCCGGGTAAGAAAATAGTCCTTTAGGAGCGTGTTTGCACTTCCTTCTGAAGTATTGGCTGAGTTGTGATCCTTTAATCCTCAAATCCAACCAAGATTCTGGTGCAGGAATCACTCTTGATTCTTTGTAGCCTGCAAATTCCCTTACATAATCAGCATCTTCCCCGATTACAGTCAAATAGAAGTTCCCCTTGAAGAACGGGTAGCTCTCTCCAACTAACATCATTGCATCCTTCCTGTTTTGAGTGAAAAGAACAAGATACTCCTCGTCTGATAGTCCAAAGTGGTTTAGAACATTGTTTCGAGCTTGAATTTCAGGGATCGACACGAAGCTCCCATGGAAGGAGGATTTCTTTGTGAGGATGTTAAGCAGTCGAGACGGCTCCAACTGTGTTCTCTTGGGATCTGGGTGACTAATTCCAGAGGATGGCCCAAATGAGTCTCTTGGAACACCACGTAGTGATTTTCGCTTGTCATCCAGTTGGGGCGCCGACGGATTTTCTTTGATGCAAAGATCGTATAGATCCGTCTTTTCTCCTCCTTCTACAAGTGCGTTCGAGTACTCTGGGTATTTTGCTAAAACGTATTGTTCCACATATTGCCTTTCTGTTGGGGTTATGGGTCCTGACCATCTAAGATCAAGACCATTGAGTGTTGATATAGCTTCTGCTACTATGTGAGCAGGAATCACCGTTTTAGCCTTCTGTTTCATTTTAAACAATTAAAGAAATAAAGAGACGAAATTAGATACAATCTCTCCTTTTCCCAGGAAATACATGAAACACTTAAAAATTCGCTTTTACCTTAATAATCACGCTTCTTGGTCTGCCATTTTGTGTAGGAGATTTTGGTACTGGACTTGGTGACGATTTTCTCATATCGGCCTCCATAGTCCCTTGATTCATCTGTTATGAGAAAACTCAGAATTTCAAAATCTATGCTCATAAATTTTTTTTAAGATACTAACCTTATTGAAGATGATGAAAACTCTGTGTATACCTTCATTCCTGATGAAATCTTTACATGTTTCTCGGTGCTCTTTCCCATATTCTTGATGTTTCTGACAATTCATAAGCTGGTGGAAAGGCTTTTAAGGTTGTAAGAAAAACCTTTGAAGATTTCAAATAGAAGCAGAGTATGATTCTGGATTCAATATTAATGTGGGTTGGTACACTGAGAGAATGAAGAACAGAATAGACCAGGCTAAACCTTAACAAGAATCCATTGTCTTGTTCAGGTTAAAGTGCCAAGAAATTGTTGTTTGTTGATGGGAACAATAGATTTCTTTTTGTTTTAGGTCAATTAATATAGATTTAGACCTTAAACGCGTTTGGATTTGAGGATTGCAGGAATATTTTAACAGACCTTAAGTAAAATATTCGACACCAGAAGGTTACAACTGTATTTAATTCAAGATTAGACTGAAGGGTTTGGTTTAAAATCTCAAGTAGAAAGCGACCGGTGGAAGATTTTGTGCCGTGTTTGATGTCCAAAACTAGACAGGGTTGGACAGACTTTGTGCCGTGTTTAATGTGCAGAATTACATAGGGTTGAATAGAATAATGGACAATTTTTATTTTTATTTTTTATTATTATTATTATTATTTTTTATCATTTTTCTTCTTTTCTCAATTCCATCGAGTCTAGCATAACGAGCATATCAAGCTTAAATTTTATCCTTGTGCCTTTCCTTCGTCATACTATTCAATCGAGTATATCAAACATGAAATTAGTAGATTCAACGGAGAATAAAAAATTATGGGTTTGTTTAAACATGTAGGGTTGGCACCAGACAAGGGGGGGAATATTCCCGGCAGACAAACTACGAACTGGGAAATGTGAGATCAGTATCAAGAAAGTACAGCTTATTTACTTATTTTTAATTATGTAAGAACAACTAAAATAAGAAAAGACTAGTTCAACGATAGCAAAAGCCTTTGATCAGTTCTAATTATTTTGTTAATTGTTGTCATTAGATTGCAATGAAGCTAGTTTTGGCGATTTAGTTATTAAACAGACAATAAAATCTAAGACTTTACATGGGATTTGGGAAAGAGGTAGAGATTCCAAAGCTCTTGTTTGAGCCCCCATTCTTGTCTTTAAAAAAAATAAAAATAAAAAAATTGTATTTTTGAATAGTGTACTGATGAAAAATATGTGATTAAAAAATAAAGAAAAGTCATGAATTTACGTGAAATATTATTTTATTGAAGAATGTGTGGTTGAAGTGAGATCAAATCACAGTTGAATAATGTATTTTGATGAAAAAATGAGACTCAAACAATATGAAAGCAAGACAAAAATTAAAATTAAGGGTCCTTTTGATTGTAAGAATGAAATTTGGGTAGAAAGAAAACTAGTTTCAGGGAATTGAATTGCCTAGAACTTATTTTACAGGGAATTGTCAATTAAATGTGTTTGATTAGTATAATTTTTCACCTGAAAAATGAGGTGGGGGAGGGGAAAAGAAAAGGAATTGCCAATAAAAAAGGTGCAATCAAACAACCCTAAAGGTGGAAAATTCATGAAAAATTCTATGAATCGAACAGGCCCTAAATGATTTAATAGTTCGCTTTCGAGTACAATAGAGAACTTGTCGTGAAAAATAATATAATTGTATAATTGATTAAGACATAATGAGAATTGCCCGTTCAAAACGCCTGTCCCGTATTTCTACATATGCCCCATTATTCTACTCTTCTGTAGAAAAAAAAATCAAAATTATTTGTCTCATTAATTCATTCATTTTTCCCCTAGAGTTGAAGTTCTCCTTCATTTGTTACTTTCCGTGAAGCTTCTTTGGAAATGGATTGTAAATTTATATATATTTTTCTGGGTAATTACCATAAAAGGTCCATACCTTTTAATGTTATTATGCAAAATATCCCTAAATTTCATTTTTTGACATTTTCACAAATACATTTCACCTTTCATTGTGTAGAAAGTTCTTTTCATCCATTTTTCGACAAAATGACAATTTTAGCCTCCTATTCAAATAAAACAAAAGGAGCAGAAAAGAAAAATAAATAACTAATTGGAATCATAGTCCTAAATTTTTCAAAACATTACAGATAAATCCTAAATTCTCCACTACCACCACTTTCACAACCCCTCCAAGCCACCACCTATAGATTTACATAGCATCACTTTCCGGCCACAACACCCGTCGAAATCCACCACTACCAGCCTCGCCTCACTCTCCCCAACATAATCCTCCATAGTATTGGTCATCAATCTATCCGAAACAACCACAGTTATAGCCCAAAATACCAAACTGTTGTATACAATCCTTCATGGCAATCCCACTTTCAGTGCCCCCATGGTCACAAACTACCACCGACGATTATCCTTCGCCTCAATGAACCTATACATAGCTTCACATCACTCAAAACTACCTCAAATCATTTTGTCGTAATTCTAGAAATTCGACAGTGGCGACATGTATTTTGTCATACTCTTTTCCTTCAATTCATGCATCCCACGACACTAAACCTTCAAATTGGCATCAAGTGAATCACCAACAAACCTAAACGATAATGGGTATGAATCTAATTAAACAAATTATCCCCTCAACTGTTTCAATATTTGGTCCAAAACTCTCTACGGGCACATTGCAGGGTGAGAGTTGTCTGACCAAAATTGGTGGATCCTAAGTGTTCAAATCTTTCAAATTCGTGTGTGGGAGGACGGTGTGGGAGTGAGGCGAGGTCAATGGTCGTGGAGTCCGGTGGACATGGTGGTCAAAATGTAGTGCTATGTGGATCTATATGTGACAACTAGGTAGGTTGTGAAAGTGGTGATGGTGGATAATTTATAATTTTTTTTGTAATTTTTTAAAAACTAAAGAACTGTAGTTACAGTTGGTAGTTCATCTTTTCTTTTTGTTTTAGTTGAATGGGAGGGAAAATCGTCATTTATTGAAAAAAAAAATGGATGAAAAGAACCTTTTACGCAATGAAAAGTAAAAGGTAGGGATGAAAATGCTAAAAAAAAGGGAAAAAAAATGAAAGATAGAACGTTTTGCACAATAACATTGAAAAGTAAAGAACTTTTTGTGCTAATGACCTTATTTTTCTCATGAGAAGACCAGAAATAGCATTTAACTACTTTTCTCCTATAACCTGCGTAACAACTTGCATTTACGACATGAAAGAAAGCATTTGTATTCTCTGCGATGAACCTTACAAATTCCTTATTCAGGATTGAGACCAACTATGAAAGAATAAAAGAATGAAATAGTTTTCAAGGCTTAAGCCCAAAATTTGAAATATTGTTTTACGTAAATAACAAATAATAGAAACTCGAGGCATGTATGATAGACACTATAAGACACTTGTCCAATAAACAAAATTTTATCATTTTTTTTAATTTTTGTTCAGTGCTAGAAGTCATACATGATGTATGAAAAAGTAATGTTATTCTAGTCAGTAATTACAGTAATCATTGTATGTGGTAGTTTGTTATTTGAAGCAACATAATTAAAAGAAATTAATGCCTCAAATAACAAGTTGTTAAATAAAATAACATTATTATTATTTTAAAAACACTAAAGAAGCATAAAAAAGAAATATTTAATGGGTCCCATGTCAAGATAATTAACGGAAACACAACTATGAGGTATCATTTGACCTAGATCGGAATAACTACACATAACTCAAGTGTTGCTTGCACAAGAAGAGATTGAATCATTACAGCAAAGCCAATATCAATGGTTTTCTGTAGTTAATAACATTCATCGGTTTAAGTTGAAATTCCACGCAGCATTGTCAAGTGAGTGACGTTTCCATTGCGCCGCTCCATACTCGAGTATTAGCACGAAATTGTTTCAACTGCAAGAAACGAGAGAGAAGCAGTGGTTAACGTCTCCATCTTTAATATGTCGATCCAGTCAGTTATAATAGAAGAAAGAGAGAGAAAACGAGCACAGACAAATTGGTAGGCAATGAACAAATCCTACATAAATATCTTTGACATAATGTAATGCATGTTTGTCAAATCATAAATTATTATTTAAGCAGATCAAACATACTTCTTATCTACACGTTTCATAGGACCTACAACTTATAAGCACATAATCTATATTTTGCTAATGTTTATAAATGTTCAAACTGTTTTTTATCCACACATTTCATGATAGAATAAACATCAATGCTTTTTAAAAGCACTATCAAACATTTCATGATAGAAGAAACATCAATGCTTTTTAAATGTTCTACAAGTACTACACCCACTTACCAACACTTTACAACCATGCTTTTTAAAGGCACTACCAAACATGCATAAGATAGAAGAAACGTTAATGTTAGGTAAAAGTATGTTCGATTAGTCGAGGGATCATCAAGCTGATATAATGTTAATTTGATCTTCTTTACAAAAAGGAAAGAAAATTCTCTGATGATGCTAATTTAAAGTAATTTAAGGAGAAATTATTATTTTTTCAGCCAACATGAACAGTTACCTCTGACTATGTTGCATGTCTCACACTACTTTAGAGCCATTCAAGATTTTGGGTAACAAATTCATGCCAACCAATTCATATACCAACTTGAGTATTTAAATTTTCCTTCACAGTTCTTCCATCTTTAACAACCGACCACACCCAAAACCATCACGTTTCTGCTCGTATAGTATGGGTAGTAGAATGATGGGAGTGGCATAAAGTGAGATTTGAGAGGAAGTTAAAATGAGATAATGAGAAGGTAAGACACATGAAGTGAATGTTGACCGAGTAGACTTGAACGGAGGAGGCTGGACAGGGGTTGTCGGGTTGGTAGTAGAAATACTTAATGACAGATGCAACGAACAAGAATGAGGTTGAGAACAAAGTACAATTGAGAAGAGAAAGAGGAAGAGAGGAGAAGAGAATAAGAGGGAGAGAGTATAGAATGGGGGGGAGAATATCAAGTTTATTTAATTATTAAAGTTGTATATCTTTCAATGTATAAGCCCCTTTTATGCGGGGTTCAAAAAACTTATTTTAATTAAGAAATATTTAATCAAGTCCTAGAGAATCTAGTGAATAAACATAATAATATCCTACGAAATCTAGTAAATAAACCTTTAAAACTTTTCCTAAAATAAGGATCTAGACATGGAAAGTATGCATATAATAATCTTCAAGGGTTCTCATCATTCTCAACAACTGAGAAAACTCGGCTCCAGCGAGAGACTAAAACTTTACACTCCAAAGGTGGCCAATCTTTTGTCTTGACCAAACGTCAGTACTGAACTTTTGACAGCAAACATGATTGAACTCATACTAAGGGGACGGTCTTTCTTATGAACCAAGCACCGATAACAAACTCCAAAAAGTAGCATATTGTGCAATGCATCAAACAAAATATCAATTGACTTCACAAAATTAGGAGCACAAGGATCTATCACAATAGATTGGCATGCAGGAACAAATGATTGTAACAATGGTGGCTCAAATGTGCCCCTTGTGCCCCGATAAGGAAACAAATATGTAATAACGCTATAGTAAATCCTTAATTGCTTCATGCTGACACTCTCATCCTTGCTATTAGAATATTCAATAGGCTCAACGATAAAAACCTCATTTTTTTTCTTCACGATGAGAAATAATACAACCACACTTGGAAAGCAACTATCGGGATTGGGGTGGGAGACCTAGTGTATGACATACTTGACAAAGATGGAAGGATATGTACCATAGGTTGACTTGTCAATAAACTTCATCTAAAGATTAGGGAATGGGAATGCCGCGATGCACAATTTCAAGATTCGAACGATTGAGAAACCTATATGCTGTGATGTAGGGAGCCTCATAAATATCATAACATGGATTCCCATTAATAAACTTCTGCAATTAGTTTTTTCAACCCCAAAGATAAAAAGAGAGACATTATTTTCAAATTACTCCAAAAGGATATTTTGGAAGACACAATAAAAGAAACCAAGAGTCAAAAGTGTTGGAGGTGAAAAAGGCAAAGGTGTTGGATTTTGTAGTGAAAAAAGTTGATGCAAGATACAGTCAATTCCCTTCACAAGAATAAAGCTGATGTAGAATAACTCAGTAAACATAATAAGAAGAGAAGAGAGAAGAGAGGAGAAGAAGAAGGCAGAGGCGGGGAGAGAGGAGAAACGGCTGAAGTCAACTCTTTATTTCATCAAATTCATCAATAATATGAAAATTACAAACCAAGGTAGGTTTAAATAATGAAAACCTAGAAATATAGGGCCAAGCCCATTATTTAAGTTCTAATTAAAATACGTAAACTTAAATAAAAGTCCAACTGAAACAATAATAAAGGTCCAACTAAAATACTGAAACAATAATAAAAGTCCAACTATAAGGATGGATGTCCTCATCAACTCTCCCGGGGTGGGAGAAAAACTCGACCCTGTCGAGTGGATATGTCACCGTAGACTCTCGTCAATCTCCCAACCATAAGCTGAGTGGTTGGGCAAGTTTCTTCCGGCGTCTGTAGAAATGCGTCAGTGGCGGTCTGAACCTGGTGTCCTCACCAACTCCCCTCGGGTGGACGGGAGGCGATCTGGGCCAAGGAAGATCCTGCTGACTCCGATAAAGCTCTAGCAAATCTGGATCCAAATGCTGTAGTGTCTCCCTGGAGATCCATGCACAATCAGAATCCGGTCGACCGACCCAACGAACAAGGAAGCGCTGAACCTCTCCATCATTAGTGAACACAGTTTCTTCATCTAAAATAGCATCAATTTTATCAGTGTGTGCTGTGAGAGGTGGTAGTGGGTTAGAGGGAGCCAACGAATGAGGGTCAAGGTCCACAAAAGGAGGTAACAGGGGATCATCTGAGGGAATGAAATGGCCTTTATAAGCTACAAGGTCTTCAACATTGAAAGTATGATGATAACCAATGTGGGATGGAATGTCGACAATATATGCATTTGGACCAACTTGCTTTAAAATTTTAAAAGGACCAGCACTACGAGCTTGCAATTTGGAGGCGGGTCCATGTAGACGCCGCTCTGGCCTAATGCGAACCATAACGTAATCCCCAACATTAAACTCTATGTGTCGTTTATGTAAATCAGCTTGTAGTTTATAATTTGCATTACTAGTTTCAAGTTATTTATTGATCTCAATGTGCAAATCACGAAGGTGTTGTGCAAATGCTTCGGCAGATACTGACACTCTAGCCTGTGGGGACATAGGGATGAGATCTAATGGTTTCCTAGGCCTGTATCCGTGAACGGCTTCAAATGGACTCATACCTAATGAACGATTTACGGAGCTATTATACGCGATTTGAGCGACAGGAAGGATTAAATCCCAATTCCGAAGGTTCTCCCGGACCAGACAACGTAATAAGTTACCTAGACTCCGATTAACAACTTTGGTCTGACCGTCAGTTTGAGGGTGGTAGGCTGTAGAAAATTTTAATTTGGTACCCATCTTATGCCACAAAGTCCTCCAAAAGTGGCTGGTGAAGCGAACGTCCCTATCGGACACGATGGTCTTGGGAAGCCCATACAGTTTGACAATCTCATTAAAGAATAACATGGCAACCTTGGACGCATCCGATGTTTTGCTACAGGGGATAAAGTGAGCCATTTTCGAGAAACGATCGACAACCACGAAAATAGAATCATGCTTCTTTGGGGTGCATGGCAGTCCTAGCACAAAATCCATACTAACGTCTTGCCAAGGACAATTGGGGACGGGGAGAGGAGTGTATAGGCCTGTGTTCTGCTTCTTCTGTTTGGCCAACTGACAAGTGTTACATGTACTAACGATTTTAGCCACATCTCTCTTTAAACTAGGCCAATAGAATTGGCGTTCAACCTCCTCAATGGTCTTATCACGCCCAAAGTGACCGACTAACCCTCCCGCGTGAACTTCCCACACTATAAAATCTCGAACTGAAGTTCGAGGGATGCACAATTTATTGGCTCGAAAGAGATAACCCTTCTCAAGTCGAAAGCCATCTGTGCTGTTTGATTGTCCTCCTTGCAAATCGAGAAAGATATCCTTAAAATCTGGGCATGCCTCGTAATCCTCCTTAAGCCTGTCAAAACCAATGACTTTGACACTCATGATCGACAAAAGGGAGACACGACGACTTAACGCGTCAGCTGCTTGGTTCTCAACGCCCTTCTTGTGTTTTAAAACGAACGAATAGGCCTGCAAATATTCAACCCAACGTCCATGCCTAGAACTCAATCTCTTCTGAGAGTTGAGGTAACAGAGGGCTTCGTGGTCCGAATAAAGGACAAATTCCTGAGGCAACAAGTAGTGGCGCCAATAGCGTAAAGCCTGGACCACCGCATACAGTTCCTTATCATACGTTGAATATCGTCGTTTGGCCTCATTTAACTTTTCGCTGAAATAGGCGATAGGGTGACGATCCTGACTTAAGACTCCGCCTATACCTACCCCAGAAGCGTCACATTCAACTTCAAAGACTTTGGAAAAATCGGGAAGACGCATGACAGGAGCTTCTGTCATTCGCTCCTTGACTAACTTAAAGGCCTTCGCCGCCCCTCGTGTCCAATGAAACTCCCCTTTCTTCATACACTCCGTGATAGGTGCCATAATAGTGCTAAACCCTTTAATAAAACGGCGGTAAAACGTAGCTAAGCCGTGAAAGCTCCTGACATCATGGATGGCCTTAGGCTCAGGCCAGTCAATTATCGCCTGAATCTTAGCAGGGTCAGCAGACACCCCTGTCGACGAGACAATGAACCCCAGAAAAACTACGCTATCGGTGAAAAAGGAACATTTCTTGACATTAGCATACAGGTTAAATAAAAGTCCAACTGAAACAATAATAAAGGTCCAACTAAAATACTGAAACAATAATAAAAGTCCAACTATAAGGATGGATGTCTTCATCAAAAGCCAGATTGCAAAAGTCTAAATTAGTGAATCACAAAACAGCATATTGAGCTCATTTTACAGTTGATTTTTAAAATGGAAANAAAAACCACCACCTTGGATCAACAAATAACAAGGGCAGTCAGGAACCACAGGCATCTTTTGATGCATAACAGAAAAGGAAAGAGAGAGAAAAAATAATAACTGGAGAATTAGGAGAAATTCGTGCAGGGAAAAACTTCTACACTACAGAGAATATGAAATCCATTTTTTTGGTAGTCCTATCTATATACTTAATAATTTCTAACAAAGAATATTAGCAGAAATAGGGAGTTTAGGGGCAACATGAAGGAATGGTGTAATAGAAGTGGGTGAACTGTGTAAAATGGAGTTGAACTTGACCTTGTCTCAGCCTTAAAAATTCTTAAACTAAGAAATAATATATATTATAAGAAAATCTACATTTCCACTGTAGGAAATCAGTTTTTTTTCACTATAGGATGGTCACCAATGAATTCTCCATCTCTTTCTCCCAGCTAAAAGTAACGCAGACTCTGGTGACTTAAAACTACAAATATTGTAGCAACCAATGTGGATCAAGGTATCAAAACCCTTCTTTTGTTATCAAAGTATTATTTGTAAAGAGATGATATTTGCATTGAACTAGGAATTGATAACCACAAGATTGTGAAATAACATAATGATCCTCCAGATTATCTATAATGACTTCAGTTGGCTCTGCACAAGAACAAAATATCTAAAAATGACAGTCCACGTAGAAGTCAGCACAAAAGAGAAGTAAAATAAAACTACTGGCAGCTGACAGTTTGTTCATTGTCTCTTGTGAGAGTCTGAATCTGAGGTGGCGTGTGGTGGTTTTTAGATGGTTGGTGGCGGTGGTGGGAGATAACAGGGAGATGGGCACTGATGGCTGGTGGGTAGCATAGGTTGTCAACAGGGCTGTGATTCACAGGGATGATGGAGTTTGGATATTGTCACGTCATATGGGCTACTAATTTAGCCAGCTGGTGTTGGCTGTTGATTGGCTAAGAGATTGTGAAAACAGACAATTTGAAAAATCTTTTGGTGCAAGTGAATTGAGCTATACAATTCTGCTGGGTAGATATTCAGCAAATATTTTTTGTTGAAAAAAAATATACTTTTTGTGATGATGAATAGCTTTTCTTAGTTGAACATACCATGAACAAAAGGTTTTTTTTTTTTTTTTTTTTTTTTTTTCAGACGGGCAATACTGATAATTGTAGATTTTGATTTTGGGTAAGGGTTTCTCTAGAGGAAAGACTATACTTCGATGCCCACTAATATAGAACGGGAAAAAGAGGGAACAAAAAAGAGAAAAGAATTGGAGAAACAAGAGAAAACTGTAGAGAGGAATTTCAATATACTAGATGATCTCAGATCAATTGTCGACATTAATCAAAACACTTAAAATGCTATCAAAATAGTAAATTAAGAATTTTCTAACTTTAATAACAAAATATATATTAAAAATGGATAATGAAAATACAAGATAATTAAAAAAAAAATGAATCTACTTTGCATATTTACACCTAGAATAAGTGCAACTTTGGCATGGCATCTGTCGTTATAAGAAAGTAAGTTTCTTCACTAGCAAGGCCAACAATGCATTCTCAATTACCTATAATTGAAAATTTTTATTCATGTCTTGAATAGACAAACTAGCTCTAAAAAACTTAAGCAGGTATCCATAACCCCAAATGATGTTTTAGAGATAAAGCTGTCCTCTTTGTTATGCAACCATGTCCTGTGCTTTAAAATTTCTGGTTGGTGCAAGATGGTCTTGGGATTTTGATTTTCAAACTTCAAGTCCAATAAATCATGAGCTCCTCACTATCCATTTCCAAAGTTTTCTTAGAGAATAGTTTCATTATACTCCCACAAGTCCATGGGTTCGAAATTTCATTTAGATCCATCTCATTAAATGTTCAACTATTGAAAATTTGAACTATATCTTTCTTTAAAAATATTTTAATTCAATTTTATTTATATTAATCAAAATGGAAGGGCATACATTATTATAATCTGACAGCAGAATTTAGCTATAAATTCAGATATCTCTCAAAATGGAAAGGAAGACGACATTATTATTCTTCAAGCATGATTTTATCTCTATTAATATGAGTATATTTTCTGGTATTCAACTTCTCTAGACAGAAAAGTTCGCTAACACAAAAACAATTTCTCGCCCAATACCAAAACTCTGTCTAAGTTAATCACATCCAAACAAATTTGGACCAAACTAGAACAACGAGATTTCATGAAATTCTGATCGATTTTTTTTAGACCAACCACCTGAAATTTGTGTAGAAAATACACAAGAAGAATTTATAAATACCAAGACAAAGACAAAAGAAATGAATAACCATGACAGTGTTAATATCTTCCAAAATGCTGCAAAGAAAATAACTGAAAATATTGCCAAGATGAGATCATTATTCCATGTTTGAAACAAAAAGAATTTCCCCATCTAATAGCCAATAGAAAACTTGAATATTTAAAGCTTTGCCAGTTATTGACCCAAGAGATCTGGGATGAATGGGCCGCCAGGAAACATGAATACAACACCTGTTGTTGGGAGTGAGGACATGTTTCCTCTCAATGACATGAGGCCTTGTTATTATAAAGAAAAATAAATGGAATGTAAAGAACAATCTACAGTAGAAGAGAAGGATCGATCAGAAGAATTATTTATTTCTGTTCAGGATTACCCATTTTACTTTCCCTAGGGAAGGTGAAGGTCTATAAACTGGGATTCCTATGCTCCAAGGCCAGACAGTTCATGATCCTTTGGATTCTACATTAGGTTGTCCTTGGTCTACTTGAGCACAATATTTCTATGATTCCCCAAATCCAAAATTGGAATTAGTCTCAATCCACTATATAGTGGAAAAATGACAAAGGTATAGCTAGATATTGCCAATCAGGGCGATGAAGAGTCAGGCAGTTTAACACCACAGAAGAAGCACTAGACACAATAGAGAAAGTAGATATAGAGGAACTGTGTAAACTTAGATGACTCCCTTGGCTAGAAAGGCTAAGAGGAAAAAATAGATCTGACTTTAATGTCAATGAGCAAACCTAGACATATTTATTTTAATGTCCCCAGTCAAGGTTGAGGTCACAAAGACTTGGGGATTTCTAAGCGAAGGAGAATGAAGAGACCAGTAATGTATATTTGATCGTCTCTTGATGATCAAAATTACTGTTGCATCAGACTACATATTCATTCTCCTATGTAGCATAATCTTTTGGATGTTCACATCTAGCTGAAACTCTTATCCTGGACTGTTAGTGGAAATTTACCATGAAGTAATGACAATCTGCTTAGAATACTAAATGAGGATTGAAAGTCAAAAATTTATAGCTGCTGCAGCTAATATAGTTACAGGGGATTGAAGGATGGTTTTATGCTGATTTACAAAAAATGGTATTATTTCTGTTTCTGGAAAAATAAAATTCACATGGTCCATCTTAGTTCTTGTGAAATTTCCAGAGGTCAATGAAAACTAAAACTACTACCCAAAAAGACGAAATTTTTAATGAAGAATAATAAAGATAAACAATATTTTCATTCTCATAATAAGGTAAATTATTGAAACTCCAAATTCCACACGGCTCATTGTCAATTTCTACATTTTCCCTGAAAGTATGTGAAGAATTTTAGGAGAAATTGCTAACAAATACATGGCAGATTCAAGTAAAGTTCTATTCTTTAAGCAGCAAAATATTTAGAGAAAGATGGAAAGAATACAAGATTACCCTTGGCCGTCGATGTTACCCTGGCCACTGCTGGCACCACCGCCACTGCCGTAGGACCCGTCGTCTGCACCAGTCTGCCACACAGACTGCCACGCCTGGGAAGGCGGCGGTGCCTGCATGTACACCCCAGGATCCACACCAGACACAGCTGGTCTCCCCATCATCGGCTGGCCCATTGGCGGATAATAATACGGAACCCCACTCGCGGCCGCCGGGGAGCCGATAATACCTCCCAATGCCACGGCGTCGTCCTTGATTTCATCCCTCGGCACAATATCCACCAGAAAATCAAATATATCAGTGCGTGTGATTGCAGCCGCTATGTCGTTCTTCTGCAGAGTACGACGCTTGTTCTCCTCCGCGTGGAGCCAGGATCGGATTGTGAGCTCGAGGATGAAGAGCTCACACGCCTTCGCGAAGAGGATTGGAGCCTCGGCAGAGATCATACGCACATCTTCATCAGCCTTCATGATCTTCTTAATGCGAGCCAAAGGCAACTGATGGTTCTTAAAATCATTCACCTGCTCGATCTCCTGCCGCTGATAGTTCCAGAACGTTTGAAGCTGCTGCTGTTGCTGCTGGAGGAGGTGGTGGTACGGTGTTTGGGGTGGGTACGCCACCGGCTGTGACGCCGCCAGCTGCTGCGGGTTGTTTTCCATTTTTTGCGAATGGGGGAGAATTAAAGAATTGCTCTAATGGGAGAAGAAAGGTTGAATATATAGATAGATTTTATGCCAAGGCAGTATTTATAGTGCCAATAGAATGTACTATCGAAGTAGCAGATAATACAATTTTCTGTTGCATAGATGGTGTGGAAGTAGCTCTTATAGAGGGGATAGGCGGAATAGGTTACTTGCGTGGCGCTCGTACACATACTTGTGTGTATTCTTTTTCCTTGGCCAATGCTTATAGCCCTATCCACTATTCTTCATTTTCATTGGTTGAGCTATAAAGAAATTAATGATTTTCGCTCTTACTTACATTATAATTGAATTTTGGAGAAAATGTATTTTAAAATAATAATTTTTTTAGAGAATATACGATTAAATAATGAAAGAAAAATTTTGAATTTACGTGTAATATTTTATTGAAAAATGTGTGATTGATCATTAAACCTTCTTCTTCTTTTTTACTTATTCAATTACTAAAGTTAAATAAGTTTACATAACTGGTCATTGCGTTAGTCTGAAAAACATTATACATGACATAGTAGCTGTCGAACTTTCATGTGGACTAGTGGTCATCTAAAGATTAGATCTAATTGCCCTCCTATGTTTTATTTTTTATTTATCTTTGTCACGGCCTTTTTGTTATTTATTAATGAGAAAATAGGGTTGGGCTTTAAAAGGGACTTGTGATTTTATTGGTCGATGTAAAATTTTTCTCTAACATCATATTTCATTTTGATTATCTATAATTTTACAATATGAAAATAGCTATCGACTATCGTCAATTGATGACAAAGGTTTAATGGGTCGATATCGGGTTTGGAGTGACCAATTATTTAACATTATCTTATTGGCTATATTAATCACAAAAATACTTTAATGACTCATTTGAAATTTACTTAGGTGCTATATGGGAGGGATTCTTGCCGAATTATAAGCAAAAATTCGCCCATTGGCTACAGTAAATGGGGCCCAGACAATGGCAGCAAACTTTGACTTCACCAACCGGTCAAGTAGAAATTTAGGTGAAAATACCATCTTGTCCCTACATTGTTATTATTTTTATCCGACATAAGGATAATTTTGACAATTCAAATGATTTTCTGAAAGGCAACTGTTGCAACTGTTCCTTTTTTGGCCACTTTTCTTACAGATGTAGGGCCCATCAACGGGCAAAATTTTTCTAAAAATCTGCCTAGCATCGTTACCAGACAAGCCCTTAAACTTTATTGAATATTTGTGAAATTAACTTGAATTAATGAGTGAGCCAAGTATTATAATCACTTAGACATAAACTTAATGAAAAGTTATTTTATTTTCTTTATAATTATAGTTCAATTTCAGAATCCCATTTTAACAAAAGAATTAGAAGCTCGAGAAAGAATATTAAGATTTAAATATTTATTTAATTCCTTGAGCCTCTTTATATCTTTATCATTGATTACTTGTTTTCTAAATACAATACGAATTATTTTAGAGTCACCATTCTCTACATTAGTTGTCTATTTATGTTAGATAACTCAAATTTTAATTCATTTTCATCCCATCAAAACTATTCATGATATAAATCTGCTTCATTCAAGGTTTGCAAGTATATTATTGCAGTTAAATTTATTCACAAATCTATCAACTCAGATAGAGAACATAGTAAATCTCAATGGTTTAAAAAGGCGACAAAATGACACCTTACGTTCATTACATGTTTTGAAACATTTTCACCAAATTATAAATAGTGAGAATTACATTAGAGCAAGTATTGAAAAATCACACTTCAAAAATCAGATATAAATTATATTTAATAAAAATCAGGTGACAATTTAACAATTTAATATTAATAATTATACTTGCAAGCAGATGCCCCGCCCAATCTCTTCTCCCATAACTTGTGTCGCTGCTCGATGAAGCTGCTATAGGAAGTTTGGCATTTGGAAGTGGAGACCAACTAGCAATGATGGAGCTCCGATGAGAAGGAAGCGACAATGTCGATGACGGACGAATCCAGATGGAAAAGTCTTTCACGAAGATAAGAAACGCAGATACCGTTGATCGATTCATTAGGTTTGAGCTCGAGTTGGGTTACCAGCTCGACTCCTAGATTCAGGTCTGTTTGAGAATCATTTGGAGATGTGATTTTGTTGACAGTGGATTTGACGATGGCGGTTGTGTTTGTGGTCTGTGGTGTCGACGACTACTAGGGCGGTGGCGAGAGGGGGTGAAGAGTAGTTGTGATCAACTATTGGTAGTGGATTAGAATTGAAGGTGGTGAAAAATGTTTGGTGTATGTGACCAAGTACTTAATTATTTATGACTAACTATTCAATTGTGACCTAAAAATCCGATAATTTGTGACTAAAAATAATCTACTACCAGCTAATTTGAAAATCCGTGACCGTTAATTAAGTTGTAACCTATAAAAATTATGATTTATGACTAATAAATAAAATTTGTAACTTATGATATGTTTAATATGTAATTGAAAAACAATTTGTGATCAATTAATCTGATAATATATAATTAATAAATAAGTTGTGATTTATGACCTTTAATTGTATAATTGTGATATTAATATATTTAATTATAAAATTTATTTATTATCTGAAATTTGAAAATTTCAGATATGAATGTTGCCCTTATAAATATTCGCTAGTTTGCCTGATGTATGGCAATAGCAGTCACAATTTGTGTGTCTTGGACCTCAATATATGGGCCGATAATAGTTGTGAAACTTGGACTAGGGTTTGTTGGTGTGGCGTTGCTTTTGGGGCGATAGGTAAAAGAAGATGAAGATTTATCTTTCATTCTTTTTTCTTTTTTTTTTTCTTTTTTTTAATATTTATCTTCAATGTGTATCTATTATAAAATCATGGGCAAATTTAGATTATTACACTTAATTAATGATGTTTTTAGATCAAAAAAGTTAATAAGGACTATTTGCATCAAAATGCAATTAGGTCAGGGTGCGATTTGGTTTAGTTTGGTTTCGACTCTAATCCGAAATCAAAATCAATTTAGTCTATTTGGGTGAATTTCAAAACAAACCAACTCACTATAACTCTTAAATCGAACCGAACCAATTCGTCCGGTTTATCGGTTTGGATTTTTAATTCAACTTGATTTTTTTTTTAAAAAAAATTGTTCAAGTTTTGGGTCCAATTAGATTACAAGAACTAAAATAATTAAATAATTTTATATTACAAAAATTATTGATTAACAAATAAAATCAGGTCGATAGAGATAGATCAACAGAAAACTTAAGAATTTTGTTGCATTTTTATGCATTATATAATCTGAATGCCTGAGTAGGGAAAAATACTAAATACAACCTAATGAGCTTGTGAAATGAAATTTTCAGTACTATTACTCATCGGCAACATCATAGATTGGAGAGAATCATGATATAGTTATGAGATTATGACTTATCTTTTGATTTTTATTTTTCTTTTAAAAAAATAAAGATAAACATGTAAGTGAATTGGATTGGTTTGATTAACCAACGGTTTGAAGCTTCAAACTATGACTGAATTAAAACCAATTATTTGTGTCAAACCGATCCAAGTCAGTTCGATTTGATTGGTTTAACCAATTTTTTGGTTATTTTGACCAGGCCTAAATAGGTTGAGAGACTTAATGCCAAGGAAAAAAAAAGGAAGGGCTCGATTTGCAAAAAATGCTATAATTTAGTCCCAATTTCACAACTATTCTTACAAAACTCTTTTTTTCCCCTTCAAACTCATTTTTACCACCCATTCTCAAATGATATATTTTGCACATAAATCAAACTTTTTTTTTTTCTTTTTTCAACCATATATTCTCTAAAAAATTATTATTCTAAAATTCTTTTTTTCAAAAAACTCTTTTTAATGACTGTTAAACAGGGGCTTAGAGACATGCATTTTACTCAACTTTTCTCAAAATAAAATAATAACAATTCAAAGACAAAAATTTGAGGTTGAATACATGATATAAATGTTCACAGCTCTCAATTTTCATAAATTTTCTTAATATATGATTTACTTAAATTGTGCACGTGTTTTATTGAAATTTGTATTAGTTAGCACCTGAAGAAAATAATTAGTGATGGCAGTGAGGCCGACTTGTGGCTTGCTCGAACTTTCTCAGAAAACTTATATACGACGTATTTTAGAAATGTTTAATATGCAAAATTGTGTACTTGGAGATGTACTTATCATAAAAGTGGATAAGTTTGACAAAGCTCAATGTCAAAAAAATAAGCTAGAAAATGAATCTATGAAGACGATACAATATGTTAGTGCTGTGGGGAATTTGAAGTATGCTCAAGTTTGTACTATACCTGATATAGCATATGCAATTAGTGTCCTTAATAGGTTTCAGTCGAATCCAAGACAAGAGCATTGAAAAGCAGTTAAGAAAGTTATGAGATACTTGAAAAAAGTAAAGGTTATATACTTACATTCCAGAGTTCAAACCATCATGAGGTGGTAGGCTATTCAGATTCAGATTTTGTTGGATGTCAATATTATTTGAAATCAAGCTCAGGTTATATTTTTCACGTTAGCTGGTGATGCTATTTCTTGAAAAATGCTAGATAAACTATAGTGGCATCTTCTACTATGCAGGCTGAATTTGTGGCATATTATAGAGCTACAATCTAAGCCGTTTGGTTAACAAATTTATTTCTGGGCTGAAAGTTATTGATTCCATCTTGAGACCAATCACTATCTATTGTGATAACAGTACAACAGTGTTATTTTCAAGAAATAATAAAAGTTCTGGTGAGTTAAAACATATTGATATCAAATATTTGATGGTTAAAGACAGAATCAAGAAATGACAGATGAAAATAGAGTATATCAATACAAATGCAATGATTGTAGACCCTTTAAGGGACTCACTCCAAAAGTCTTTTAAGACATATATTGCTAATATGGGTAGTGTGGAAACATTTGATGTTTTTGGTTAGTGGAAACATATGGAAATAGCTAAATTCATACCATGTACTACCACATTGATTGGAAGATGGAGATCTATGTCAATAAGGATGTTGGCATTTGTAGCTATGGAATAGTCTTATATCGCTTAATTTGTGTAATGATATCCATGTTCGGTATTAACATTCTTATTGGGCCGATCATGTTGCATAAAGTGCTATCATTAAATTTATACTTTTGTGGCCACCTATGTAGTGTAACCTGGATGTTAAAAGTTTTGTTATAACAATCAAATATTTGCCCAAGTGGGATAATATTGAAATAATTCTAATGTGGGCTTCTCATTTGATTGTATTTTTATTGGTTAGATAAATGGCTCATAATAATATTGTGATTGGTCAAATTTATTAAGTGGTCAATTGAGCCTTTTGCACCTTACGGGCTATTAGGGGTGGTAAATGGGTCAAGCGGGAACCGAGCTCGTGGGCAGATTGGGCTCGTAAAAAAAGAGCCCGAGCACGATCCAAGCGAATCGACCCGTTTGGCTAGTTGCTCGTGGGTGGCTCGTCTGAAACAGTAACCAAAATGGTCACTTTTTCCAATTTTAGTGACCGAATTTTTTTCTTCTCTTCTCTCCCTCTTCTATAAATAGCCTTCCAATTGGCCCTAGATTTTTCATCATCTCTCTCAAGTCTCATTATCTCGACCCTCTTTCTCTCAATCTCTCTTGTATTCTCAATTGATTTGTCTCAATTAGTCTACAATTATACAAAATAGTCATATTGTATTGATTTATTTTTACAATTTAATCATCTTCAATTTCAATTTCAATTCCAATTCATTTTTACAATTCAATCATCTCCCTATATCATCTATTAATCTATATTGTATCTTCACAATTCACAAATTGAAATGGATTCACACTCATTTGTCTAGGACTTGTTCGATTTCGAAGGCGAATCACCTACGACGCCGCAAAGTCAATATCGGAATCAATTTTTGGGTCTAAATGAAGTACCAACTTCTAAAGATATTCCACATTTGGGTGCGGACCCCAATAATAATCCAATTGATTTGGATGACGTTGATGTTCTTGAACCCCAAGAAGAATAAAAGGAGGAGGAACCTGAATTAAACATTCTCGATGCTAGAGGGAAGCGAAAGGGAAAAAAAGACAAAATATTGAGATCACTTCAAATTGATTTTCGACGGGCCGTGTTGTCGATAGAGTCCCAGAGTCCAAAACAGTATGTAAATACTGTCAACAACGATTGACATGGCAAAAAGGCATTGGTACCACACACTTTAAACGTCAATACAAGGTGTGTGTAGCCAAGCATGGACTTCTTCAAATCGGTCAAACACAACTACAATTTAGTAGTCTAGGTGCCAGTACTACAATTCGCCCTTCACCACGTGGATGTAATCAGAGGACAATACTCTAACAGAAATAATGAAACTTATTTTTGGTGTTGAGATGTCTCTTGCAATAGTGGACAACCAACATTTCGTCTCATATGTGAAAAAATATCTTCAGTTGAAGTACGTTGGGGTAAGTCGAAACACTATTCGTTCAGACACAATAAAGTATTTTCTTCAAACAAAACAACAATTAATTTTGAATTTGCAAAAATATGGTAGTGTTATATCTTTAGTTTCGGATATACAAGAGGGGATTAATAAAAGAGTTTATATAGCTGCAAATGCACACTACATCAACCCTCTTCGATGTATGCATAAAAAATTATTGCTTCTAAAATTATTGAATTCCCACATAACGCTAATAATATATACAATGCGATTATGATTATTATTAAAGAATATTGTTGCAAAAATAAAATTTGTTCTTTTACATTCGACAACGCTAGTGTTAATAAAGTAGTTATTGATAAATTGTGTATGGTGTTGCAGCTTGATTCCAATGGTTGTTTGTTTCATATTCGTTGTGTTTGCTATATTTTAAATTTAATTGTGCAAGATGATTTGAAACATATTAAAGATGAAATATAAATAATTAGGAATGCACTAATATATATCACGATCTTCCCAAGTAGAAAAGAAGCATTTGAGGAATTTTGTGTCGAATTTGGAGTGACGAATGCTAAAATATTTGATAGTGACGTAGATCATAGATGAACTCCACTTACCTATTATTAAAGTTATGCGAAGGTTTTCAACATTTAATAACTGAGTTTTACAACAATAGACATAGTAGAAACGATGACGACACTATTATGAGCAAATCCGATTGGCTTTTAGTTTTAAAAGTTAGAAGATTTTTGATAAGTTTTTATGATAGTACTGATATTTTACCTGAAGTTTACAATCACACTAGCTGTATGGTCTTGAACGTCTTTCTATAATTGCAAGGACCTTTCATAAATAAAAAAATGACCCCGATTTTAGTGTAATTATATACTCTATGGAATTGAAATTTAGAAATATTTGGAAGATTTACCTATGTTATTTTCTTTAACATGCATCATTGACCCTGATATAATTTATCGTGAACTAAATATATAATTGATTAAATTTATAAAGCTTTAACTTTTAGTACACCTATTACATATAGAAATTTAGAAAAAATTTTAAGTTAAATGTATGAATTATATGCTGAACGAATGGGTACAAATATTGGTCGAGTACCCACTGCGTCTACTCTTTCTGCTGAACTTGAAGAAGATGATGGTGAAATATTTAATTTATTTCAAGGTATGATTCAAATGTAATAGGTTCATGTTCATCTAATAATACTTTGTCTGCTACATCTCCATCGGCCCAGACATCAGACGAAAGTGCAAATATATTGCCTACCGAATTAATTGATTATTTTAATTATAATATGCCTACCAATAAAATAATTAAAAAAAGTTCCGAAAATGTAATTGAATTTTAGCGGAGGTTTGAATGACGATGGCTAGTAGTTTTCGCAATTACAAAAGATTTATTGACACTTCCGATTAGCACTGTAGTTTCGGAGTCTGCTTTTAGTGCAAGTGAAAATGTGTTGTCCGAGGTCACGAGTCAACTAAAAGACAATATTTTGAAAATATTAATGTGCGTGAAGAATTGACAGGAAGCTCATTTTCGAATACAAGATAAATATGCCAAAATTGTATGTCCTCAAGTAAGTGATATTCTATTACACTAGTTTAATGAAAACTTGTTATTTTATAGTATTGCTTTTAATTGTCTTTAAAAAATTATACACATTACAAGTTGTTCGCATAGAATTTTTAACTCCACCTACTCAAAATTTAAGTAGCTGATTCCAAACAGGGATAAAGGGAGAGGGTTTATATTTTATTTATTTTAAAAAGAAAAAGAAAAAAATCATTTTAATCAAATCTTTTTGCTCAGGCATTTAAAAAAAAAACATGATTTTCAATTGTTTTATCTATTTTTCAGCATTTTAAAAAATAAAAATTGATGAGCTCGTGGGTAAAAGGGCCGAGCTGAGCTACGGGCTATATTTAATATGATGCGATAATTTTAAGTATGTGGATCGAAAATATATGTAAACCTTAATTAGAGTTTAAGTCGTAATGGGATGACTCAATAATTTCTTATATAAAAGTTAGGTCCCCTCTCTTCTCTATATTCAGTGGCGGATCCAACACCTGGCAAGCTCCCTAGATCGCGCTGTTGGATCTGTCGGTCACCATTTTTTTTTTTTGGTTGACAGTCAATGATTTAGGTTATATTACTGATAATTCACTTTTATTTACAATATTTCTTTTGGCCAGGCTGGCTAGAGCCTGCACACACATCTTTGAAAACCTGGGTTGGAATTTTTTTCACAACCAACTCAATGTAAAATATTTCTAGTTATACTATTTTTACCAAAATTAATATAAGGGAAAATTGCAGCTGAGGTACCAAACATTTCATTTATTAGCAGACTTTGCCTAAACCTTTAGTTTGTGCTACCGGAGGTACCAAACCTTTAAAAAAATTGCACGCAGAGTCCAAATTGACAGAAACTGTTAGTTTGACCATCAAAACGCTTGTTAACCCCAAAATTGACATTGACCAAAATTTTGAATGATTTTTAAAGAGTCAAATGTGTAACTTTATATTTTTCATATAAAAAATTAAAATAAAAGAAATATGCTTCATCTTCTCCACTTCACCCCCACAAAAATCCACCTCAAAATCAAAAACCAGGAACCACTTACTTCCCTACCTTCCAGTCGACCGCCCAACGCCACCCCGTCTTCCTTTTGCTTTCACCTAACCTAATCTGAAGCCGTCGACCGCCACCACCCGACACACAGTCACCCAAAAATCATATAAATTGTCGCAAAGTACTACTCCGAGGCGAAAACCAGTACGAATACCCAGGTAAAAACGGAAGCTAATCAGATGCAGCCCAACATACGATGATACTGTGAATTGCCTCCTTGAGTTTTTTAATCCTGACTGTGAGCAACTCCTCCGCGCGAGTCGAGATTGGAAGAAGTGGATGATGAGTCGATTTTCACTTCGATTAGCTGTGGATTGGTCAGGGTCATTGCGTGGTTGTAAAATCCATGGGCGATCTGGTCGATTTTGGAGAAATTTGTTTAGTTTTGTAATGGATTTTTGGTAATGGGGTGAGAAGGAGTTGTTGTCGGCAGTGGTGTGTGATTGGTCTCTTGGCGATGGTGGTGACATGCGGTGGTGCTGTTGGCTGGTTTGGGGACAAAGATGGTGGGGTGGGGTAGGTGAAGAAGACAATCCTTTTTAAATTTCTTTTCTTAATTTTTTTATTTTTTCTTGATTTTTTTGATTTTTTTTTTGTTCAATTTATTTAATATGGTAATTATCAAGTTACCATTTTACCTATTCTAATTTGGTCAAAATAGGTTAAAATTTACTTTTCTTGGTCAATTAACGGTCAAATGGACGGTTTCCATCCATTTGGACTTCGGGTGCAGATTTTTGAAAGTTTTGGTATATCTAATAGCACAAATGAAAGGTTTGGACTAAGTCTGCTAATAAACGAAATGTTTGGTAACTCGATTGCAATTTTCCCTTAATATAATAATAATGGTGCCAGGGAGATTCGAACTTGAGCGGTTTTGTTCAACTTGCAAAGAATGTGACCAGTAAGGTAACTAATAATTTGTGACACTTAATTAAACAAAAAATATATATGTTAGATTTTAGCGATTTTAATGCAATTGTAAAGATTGAAACTTGTGCTCTTCCTTTGAACTATACAAAACTTAACAACAATATCATTTGGTGAGTATATTTTACTTTTTATAATAGAATTATATATTTTCAATTTCAACTAAATAAATTATTGTAGTTAAATTTTAGACCTTGTTTGATTCCCATTTATTTCAGAATATATTTTTATCTCTCTTATTTTTAATTATACATTTTTCAATAAAATAATAGTACACACAATTCAAAACTTATCCTTCTTTTTAACCACACATTTTTCATTAAATTACTATTTCAAAAAGTATTTTTTTGGTAAAAAAAGGGACATCAAACAAGCTATTAATATTTTATTGCGGACGACGGTCGATGGTCGAAGGCCGCCCATGCTGACTCCAAATTCTGAATTCGCCATTGTCCATATTGTGTTTATTAACTTGCTACATTGACGGCTAATATTTTGGGAGAAGCAAAAAGGAGAAAATCTAAATACTATTATTCATATCAACCATGTCTTTCACTGGTATAAGTTCGAACTATCAATTATTATTTTGTAATTCTTGATTTTTAGCATAATTACAATTAAATTCAACAATTTTAAGCATTTGATCTTGTGCCTCATCTCAATAAAAAGTGATCTTTTTTTTTCTTTTAATATGAAGAAAGAAGTATTATTTTCTCACTTATTTACTATGAGACGAAGAAGCAAATAATCACTATATTTATTCTTTCTTTACTTCTACTTCCAAGTGCAAGATAACCCCGAGGGGTTATGAATTTTTTCCTATCAATTGGGTCTTTCCCTTCACCACCCCATGAGGAAAATTTTAAAACAAATAATTTTAACGAAATCTTTAAATTTTTTTATGTTCAACTCTACGTGTTTCTCTATCTGTCGAGTACACTGAACGTACAAAAATGACTATAACAAAGTTTCTCTTATTCGTGTTAACAACTATGCATTCCAACGTGTACATATAAAAATACATAAATACATCATCACTAATATTATCAATTTGAAATCAGCATATCTTGGAAAACATTTTCATTAGTTTTTAACCAGATTAATTTGTANATACATCATCACTAATATTATCAATTTGAAATCAGCATATCTTGGAAAACATTTTCATTAGTTTTTAACCAGATTAATTTGTACAAATCAATCAAAGCATTATTTAATTAAAAAACTTTAGAAAAACATGGTAACAAAATGAACTCAGAAGTTGGATTTAACTGTTTAGTTTTCGGCTAGCCAATATTGTTTTAAATTGGATTTGAAAACTAAAATGAAGAAAATAAAAAGTTGAAAATGATACAAGAACGAAGAAATTCAAATCTTGACAACGTAGTATAGCTGTACATTCATAGGGACTGGATCGTCGAGATTTGTCCGGCCCCAAATCTCATCAATTGTGACATTATGTTTCTCAATTTTCAAAGATAAAAATAATATCATATGATCTTCAAAGCTTATCTTGGACGGTGCCGCAATTTTCATACCTATAAATAAATAGTAATCATTTGTTTGTTGAGTTGTACCAAATTGGATAACTACAGTGTTGATGGTGAAATGTCTTTTTGGTTTATTATTTTGTTTTTGTTCAGAAATTTGACAAATAAAAGAGTGAAGTTATGGGATATTATGGTATATGGTCAACCACATATGTTGTTTATTTGACATCCACAAACTTAGCTTAAAGTTTGAAAAATGTGAAAGAAATAAGATAAAATTCAAATCTTGATTTATTGTTATTTGTTACTTGTTAGTGAGTGACTCAACACTTCGAGTTACGTTATAAAAGAACATGATAGTTAAATATATACGTATAGACTTTTTTTAACAACTTAGGGTGTGTTTGGTCGGCATAAAAAATATTTTTTGGAAAAGAGTCCAAGAAATATTTTCCTTGTTTAGAAGAAAACAAAAACCTATATTTCTTTCAAAGAAAATATTTTTCTCAAAAATAAGAAAATTAAGCATATTTATAAAAGTTGGAAGATATTTTCCATGAAAAAAATTTAAAATCAAACTCTCCAAAGTTGGAGTTCGGGTGGAAAAATGCCATTTTTTATGGAAAAAATTTCAATCAAATACACCCTTAGTATTTCAATGGTTAAATGCTTATAAATTTTGAATTGTATTAAATGTATGTATAATAAGTGTAGCAAGTGTTTAGAATCCAATTCATACAGCTTATAGAAAGATTAAAACGGATGATACTGACAACTTTCTGTTGTGGCCGAAGCACATCCATGATTCTTAGTGTAAATGACGATATTATATCGATAATAATTGATGAAGATGTGTCAATGATCACTAATGATATCGCTATCGATAA